TGTGTCCATCGTTAAGCTTGGTAGATACTTCATAAGACAATGTATCTCTTTGGTGCTTGAAATTCATTCACGCCAGAGATAAGGTTGTCGGAGTACAGTTTTAGCAGATGATCATCGCTATCTCTTTTTTTCGGTTTGGATTCCAAAAGTGCTACTTAAGTATCTTTTAAAAATTGGGACCACTAGATAGATGTTTCACCCTATTATGGAATTCCTCAACAGTACGCAGAGCTAGATCCCTGGTGGGCTTGTGGGTGCATACTGCTGAGGAGTCCCATACTAGGACGAAACAGATGTCTAGTCCTCCCAGGTTCCCAGTGGTTCTCCAGTTGATGCCAGTCCGTGGCGAATACAACCTTAAAAATGTTTTCCAGTTTTTATTTTAAGGATATGAAAGATATTCAATTGTTGGTTTGTAGGGATTTATGATTGACTCAAGTTGAAAGCTACCTTGCATCATCGAAAAATTAAGGGAGGTTACAGCGAAGACAGTTACCTTTTCAATGACTCATTTTCTTAGCTGTAGATTCGTAAATGTATGGGTAAAATGACCGAATATTCTACACAAGCTTCATGTCGAAGGTAAAACTAATCGATAGATATGTAAAAACATAAACAGAGGTGCAAAGTATCCGTTTAAGATCACAGTAATGACGGTGTTTTTACATGTTTCTTTTGAATACGCCATTTAAGTTCCAGACTGAGAATTCCCGAAGCTTCCGCTGTTCACCAGTGTCTTATCTCCATCTCTTTTGAACGGTTTGGCCGAATTTTGAATTAGGTTTCCAGAGGACCTAGATGTCCAATCCATGAGATGTTCAGCAATGCAGCTGGGGACGGTTTTCTGCGCACCGTTCAGCAACCAGGCCGAGTAATATTGGCGAGAGCACAGTACACCTGACGTACCCAACTCCACAGGAGCAGATAGTTGTAAATAAACATTTATGAAGCTGGCTGATATGTCCCACAGTCCTCCCTCCTTCCATAATTTTCTTTCGAAATCTGGACGAGTAACTACTCTCTTATATTGCCTCTCCCTTATTCTTGATGAGAATGAGGGCACAAAATTCCTCTTCTCACTTAAAGACACCCAACTTTGGAAGTTAGTCAGTTTCCTGGGCTGAGTAAGCTTCTTGTAGATGGATCTTTAAGTAGAATTACTAGGCCTCCTTTGGAGTTCGGGTTTGAATCAGTTACTAGTGTATGAATCTGACTAGAGGGTGGATGTCACTGAAATTTTGAAAGAGGCGTGCCAGGCCCAAGTTGTCATTGGAAATAATGAATGCAACATCTATGTATCTTTTACACAAATGAAGTTGATCAGTTTTCGGGAGCAACGTACTATTCTCAAGGTAAGTCATGAAGTAGTCGACAAGCAGAGATCCAAGAAATGATTCCATTGCTGTAACATCAATTTGTGTGTCAATTTCGTTATTAAGTCTGGAGTTCACATTAAACGCACATCTTAAGAGATCTCTCAGATAATGGTTTGGTAGGCCAACATTTACGTTTATGGAATGGATGGGGTTGAACGAGAAACAGATTATTTTTGTTAACGTTATGTCCAATGAAATCATTCTTCTTCAGAACAGATTAATATCCTCGATTGACTCAATAAATACCCATGTATCCGGAAAGCTAAAGACAATACCTTTTGAATTATACCAAACTGAAGCAAAACACACACACCTGCCCTGAGAACAATTTCCAGCCTAACATGAAATTGAAATTCTCAGCACATAAGACACATCTAACTGAACAACTCCTTGGTTTATCACACAGTGTTCGGTTAAGCAGGTTGACAGATAATTCACTTAGTTGTAGCTAGTACAGGAATCCAAGAGGGGCTTTTCGTCCTATTTGGGAGTCGTCAGCTGGGTGCACTTGCACCCCAATGTGGAGTTATGTCATCCTCACTGATGAGACTCGGACCTCGCACTCATTGATTCAAACGCCAATCCGTTATCTACTAGGCCACTGAGGCACGATAGCCACCTCTTGTACAACCGGTATTATTTACTACTATCTGGTGATATCCTTGTAATCCTCCGCTGTTATACTGGATCAGATTGTTCCACCCTTGTTAGTAGATGGACTCCTAGATAGCTGCATCGATATTTATTACGATAATTAACTTGGTTGTGGCTAGCAGAGGAATCTAGGACGCGGGTTCCGTCCCGTAGGTACATCCAGTTGAGATGAATGCCAAAAAGAATAAAATGTGTGTGTTCAAAATTCTTCTGCTAGCCACAATCAAGAGTAAATTATCATAACAAATATTCAAGCAATATCGAGACATTCGCATAGGAACCTATACGTCAATAGAGGTCGAACAATTCGACCCAGTATAATAACGGAGAATCAAAAGTATACCGACAGACAATGTACACACAATACCATCTTACTAAATTTGCAAAGTTTTATTACAAAGTCATAATTCTTCATCTTAGAATAGAAGTTCCATAGCAAGTTTAAAAATGATTCGCATAAAATCAATCACGATTAGAGTTTCTTATTGCTTGTTACAAAACATGTAGCGTATGTAGAGACACACACACACACACACATTACTGCTAATCCTTTAATAAAAATCTCTACTGTCTATCAATAAAATTTTCGTTTGGAAATTTTTTCTCTCTCTTATAGAGTAAAATAAGAGTTTGCATCTACACATTATGATCAGATCACAAGATTAAAAGTGTGACTGTGAGAATGAATACAAAACGTTTGTACTCAAGATACTGAAATACATGTACTTACTGTATTAAACGATAGAGTGAAAGAACAGGGGGTTCCAACTGAAATATACTTACCCTCGTGTATTATTATTTGTCCCTTGGGTTCCTAATGGAACATAGGGCTTCAGTAGCACCTCTCCAATGCTCTCTGTTCTCTGAAATCTTTTCAACCTGGCTCCACGACAGCCCACAAGTTCTCATTTCCTCCTCCCACGATCTCCTCCATGTCACCCTCACCTCGGACGCTCAACTCGTCGCTTCCCTTCTGGGCTCCACTCGAGGGCTGGCCTGGTCTGGTGAGTGATGTCCCCAGTCGGCCTTCTCAGTGTATGCCCAGTCAAATCCATCTCCACTTCCTTCCAGTGCATATTTGTTGAGCGATAGCTTCTTGGTTGGTTCGTTGCCAGCTAGCCACAGTGAGTTCCTTGGTGCTTATTCTTATTAATCTGGCAATCCATTTGGTCTTCAGTGTCAGTAACGAGCCAGTGTAGGCGGCAGTTGTTGATGAATGTGTGTAGTCTGTTCGATGTGCTTTTCGTGACACGTCAAGTCTCTCAGTCATGTAGTAGCATTGACTTGACTGGATTGGTGTTGAAAATCCGGATGTTGTTCACGCTTTATGCTGAGTGAAGGAGATCTCCACACTGGTTTCAGGTTAATGAAGGAAGGCCTGTCTTGTTGTCCTTCCGATCCTGGCTGGTTTCCACGTCCTAGTGTGTGCCGCCAACTCTAGTTGAAACAGTGCTGCCTAGATAGGTGAAACACGCTACTTCTTTTAAGTTTCTCCGTTGGTGGTGATTGGAGCATGTTGTTGTTGTTGTTATTGGTGGTGGTGGTTGTGTATCATCATCACCTGTGTCTTCTCTACATTCACCTGAGGGAAGTCTCATCTTTGCTGCATCGCCTCTTCTATCAACTTGTTAGTTTTCGCCTGTAGATCTTCAAGTTTGTGTGACATCAGATACAAGTCATCATCGGTGGCGAAATCCAAGTATTCTAGCTACTTTTCATCGGTCCAGCCATTGTATCCCCCTCTTCTCACTCCTCACTGTTTGTTGCATGATTCAGTCGAGTCGACCATAATCAGGAATATCATGGGTGATAGTAGGTGACAACCTTGTCTTACTCCTGTCTCCACTTCACTTCAAAGGCATCATTGAGCTTTCCATTGTGAATTACTTGGCTGGTATGTGGCGTTTTCATATACTTGTTGAATGAGGCTGATAAAGGTTTGTGGTATTCCATAATGTTGAAGCAACAGCCAAATTACTTGTCGGTCGACGGTGTCGAAGGCCTTTTCAAAGTGGATGAAGTTGAGGTAGAGGGTTGACTGCCATTCTCTACTCTGTTCTATGATGATGCGAAGACACTCGTTGTGTAAGAACTAGTTAATAATATTACCAGACTGGTCAAATGTCGTTAGGTAAAGTATGGCTTGAATCCGTGACGTATTGATTGAAATTTATCTCCCTAAATCAATGACCCACAGCTCCACCTAACAATGTTTAATCTCGTGTACTGAGTAGTTAGTAATGAGCCGCAACTACTACTAAACCTTCGTGAATAAAAAAGGATTCGAAGCCGCAACCCACCCGGTTAAAATTTAAGTAACCTAGACACAAATAGGTGAATAAACTTGAGATCCATCTATACTGTTCAACATAGTCTTATCATCGATCATCAAATTATGGGGAAATGATACATAATCATCTTCCATAGGAACAAATTTATTGATTTTGTTTTTGCAAAAACAATTGAACATCTGTATGTCAATTAAAACAAAATAAAAGTATCATTAAATCGTGGATTGCGTAACAAACTAATATGACTATACTCGCCCAATAGGCATATATACACGCATACAACACACACACACACACATAAAGGGTACAACAAATGAAATGAAAAGAGATTGATAAGCATTATCACTTGACTAATGGTAAAGTATAGCTGATAAAGCATATACAATAGAATTGATAGCCATATATATATATATATATATATATATATATATATATATATATATATATATAAAAATTGGTTCAGTTTCTGGTTACTCTGTAATTCATAAAAACAAACCTGAGGAAAGGTAATAATACAGCTCAAAAATACACAAAACACAAATTATCTACAAGTTGAAAGTTAAAAAAGAAAGAAGGAAAGAAAAGGAATCTACGCAAACAATTCGAATATTATAAAGTGAGGAGTGAAGGGGGGTGGGTGGGAAATGATCCATCTTATCCGCTTTCCTAGTTTATTGATTCACTTATCATCAGTTGACATCATACTATGATGATGGGTTGAAGAAAAGAAGGAATTGACAGGATTCACTTCATAATCCATATTACTATGAATCATTAAATTATTCAGAAGTCTAGCCAATTCTTCATTTTCTATAGATTGTGGATTTTGGATATAAAAAGAGATGATATCTTGTGAAAATCCATTATCTTCTAGATAGATTACAAGTCGAGCTAATTGTTGTGCCTAAAAGAAGTAAGAGAAAAACGCTTACTTGTTAATATGAATAAATACATATCAATAAACTCAAAAATTAATAATGTTTTCTTGCCTTCAAGTCATATATATATATAATGGATGTTTTATCCTATTTTCGATTCGATTATGTACTCTGTCAATGTACATTCAGGTCAGTCAGTCAGCAATCAATAGATGTATAGACATAGACCCGATCTATCAATCAATAAGAAAAGTGATAAACCTCAGAAAGGTCAGGGGTCAAACAGAGGAACAGCCAACAGGAAAGTCTATACAGTCCATGAAACAACTAATCAAAAACTAGTTGTTCAGGGCAAGCTACTAAATCATTCACTGAGAGATATTGACAGCTCACTTCATACTGAAGTTAGTGTTGTGGATGATGTCGGTGTCTAGAAGGAGACGATGAAAGCTTCATGATTAAACAACCCAGCTCAGAAAACACAATACAACTAAGAAATTCCTTATTGATTAACGTGTCGTTGTCCAATACTATTAGCCTTCTCTGTGACTAAATACCTCCTAGAAACCTACCCATTTCGTATTACTGCAACCTTTCTGAGGGAGCTATTATTGCTGTGTACACACGAAGTCCACTTCACATTTGAAGGCGAACCTCTTTCGACAAGTTGACAGTGTAGCTATGGGTAGTCTCTTAGGACCACTACTAGCTGATATTTATATGTCATATATCGGAAATCTGGTTCGTGATCTCATCTCTGAAGTTTCTCTTTACAAGAGATATGCTGATGACATTATGGTGATTTGTGAGACGGAAGAGCATACGGCTTGTCTACTAAAAAGTGACTTAACACCGTACAAACTCACATCACTCTGACTTGTTAGAAAGAGAATAATCACCATCTGCCACTCTTAGACATAATCCCAAGTCGACGAGAAGATGGTTCAATAGGATGGTCAGTTTACAGAAAGCCTACATAAACTTGACAATACCTCAATTTTCACAGCTTTTGTCCAATCCAATACAAGTGAGGTCTGGTAAAAGGCCAGTACATCAGATACTATGGATGAAGATATCAAATCACTGACCAAAACACCTACGTTGATCTTAATCAAGTGTACTTGTACAGATCAAGTAGCACCAAAGCTAACTCTATACACGGTTCCTAAGAAAAGCGCCTACATCACTCCATCGTCCACAGGGGAGTTGAATAGTATCATTTTGAGACGTAGGCTGACATCAACCATTCAGAAAACATATTATGCAGCTAATCTTATCATTGTGGAAAAAAAGGAGCACATGCTTCATCAAAAGCGTAAACACTCCATCAATGATTACGTCACCTCCCACTGTGTTTACCAATTTACATATGTGTGTGCTCACACATACATACGGAGGAGTAATGGAGTCATACAGTTCAGGGTGAGAGAACATGTACCTAAATGGCTTCAAAAACAAATCGAGTGTGAAGCCGTGGTAAACAGTGGTGGAGGAGACGACCCTCTTCACCTATAGCTAAACATATCATAGAAATAGGTTACAAAATTAATGTTCAAACAGCTTGCAAAGTTTCATATAGAAACAGTCACTCAGGGACGTATACCGAGATTTGCGGAAGCCATAGTCACACACAAATTGAAACCACCTTTATGTATACAAAAACAATTTGTTCTTACACTACACCAATCCCCTTGGTAAACTTTGTTTTCTTACCAAAAGTAGAATCGACTGTATCACTCTTCTTGTTTGTTCTCATCTTTTTAAATTTTAATCCTCTATTGTTTTAATTTTTGTATCTGTCCTCCCACTCCTCGTTTTAATATATATTGACTTGAGACAAGTAAATGTGTGGGGGATCAGATTGTTCGGAATGTGTATTGCGCAAATACATGACACACATTGTTCAGACAATCTTCGTCTTCTAATTACGATATCGATATTTTTAATTCCTCAGCTGATTACAACAGGTGGTTCTTATGACTTATTAGCCTGGTGTACTACGCGCCAATGTTCCAAACGATGGTTGGTGAATTCAAATCTCAATAGGAAAACCATCACTTACTGGGATCCAGGTACATCTAGCTGAAATGAACGCCAAATAGGACACGAAAAGCGTACCCTGGATTCCACTGCTAGCGTGCTTGCACTACGTCTAAGGAAGAACTGTTCCCCATCACAAATACTCATCAATAAAGCTCCAAGTAAGCACAAGTAAGAGTAACTGCTTCATTATTCTCAAAGAAGGAGACATGATGCTAATAGATCTGAACTTTACGTTTCATCCAGAAGACGATTTGAGTATAGGTAACATGTTAACAATCCACCAAGTGGTAGTTATCATACTTTCGCAAAATGATTCATTCATTGAACACTGATCAAGTTAATCAGTAATCAGGGAGTGTATTTAACATGACAAAATCAAATTACTAGAAATTCTTTCACAGTATGGTTCAATGAAAATTATTATCCTACGTCAATACGAAGACTCTAGGTTCTATAGCCCTTAGACGTCTGGGAGGAGCTTGAGAAAACCAGGCAGGCTACAGACTGAACTGTGAATGTATCAACCAGATATTCACACCCCACCACCAGGTTCTGGAACACAGGTACACTTAGCGACACCCAACACTGCATTTGTCGACCTAAAGGCGGCGTTCAACTCCATCGATAGAGAGGTCTTATGGCAGTGTCTCTCATCGAAAAAGGTACCGAATAAGTAAATCACTGTTAAAGGCTCTTTACTCGAACATCTATGGGACTGTTAGCACCTATGGTCAGCCGTCAAGTGAGTTGTATACATCTAGTGGTGGTGTACGTCAATGAAGTGCACTCTATCCATTCCCGCTCACTTTTGTCATAGATGTTCCCATGGAGGTCACCCTCATGTCATCTTACGTCACTGGAGAGTCCTTGGTAGACTTAGAATACGCAGATGACATAGTTCTGTCAGATGAAGACGCTGACAAGATGCAGAGTCTTCTGAACACCTTGAGTGACAATTTGAGAATCTTTGGGATGCGTTTTTTTGCCACCATGAATGGTTTTCTGTGGAGGTCCGGCTCACAATAGAGAGTGAAGTGGTTGAGTGCTTTAACCACTGCACTTACCTTGAAAGTCAAACCAGCCCTGGTGCATTGGGTCAATGGCCGGCGAAATCTCTGTGTGGATACAAAAGACTCGACTGGCATTTGCCAACTTATGCCATCTGTAGCACCGTTGTGATATATGACTGTCGAGTGAAGGTCGAATGTACTGCACTACAGTTCGCCCTCTTCTGCTGTATGGCTGTTAAACATAGCCACTAAAGGTAGGAGAAATGAGGTTTCTATTGTTTAACCACCGTTTCCTTCGTAGTACAGGCCGTGTATCGTGGTGCCACCACATAAGTAACGCAGAAGTCGGGTGTAGAGTTTTAGGCAGGAGTGGAAAGTGATTTGATAAGGTTGCAAACCTTTGTCAACTGAGATGGATAGTTGAAGTGAGATCCGGCTGCAAAAAGGCTCAGGACGCGAAGACTAATCTATGGTATCAGTACATGAAGCCTTTGACTATTAGTTTGGGTCATGTTGAGAGATAAAGACTAGCCGGCTTGCGTCTACGTGCCAACAGAACACACTATTCACTATTTTAGAATATTGAATACATTAGCTTGAATATTCGCATTAAACTTTATCTTCGAAGTGTTTCTTCTCTCCTACAACTTTGTCTGCTTTGATATCAGTCTTTTTCTGTCCACTTGTTTTTTGTACACTACCGAGAAGTGTGATCACTTGGACCGACGCACTTGTGTGCAAGGCTCTACGTTGGCTCTATCTGTCTCTCTATCTGTCTGTCGTTTAACCTTCAGTGAGATAAGGGTGCTCAACAAACGCAACATCACACTAGTGGAATGACCTGCGAGTGCCCATCAGGTTGCAAATTTAGTAGTAGGCAGTTTCCTTGCGATCCCCAATAGTGTTAGCCTTTACGGTGATGTTACGACAATTCAGATACCCAGTATGCACCTCTTCGGCTACGAACCACATTTGCTGAATAGAAGTAGTAAACAGAGGTTAGCGTAACTATAGCTTGTTAGCTGCACCACCCCACCTATAAACCAATGAATATCTGGCCGTAAGCTCTCCTATCTATCTTAGTTCCAGCACCAAAATGCAATCAGCCTTGAGCGCCCATGCAATCAATATGACCTTGAGTCTAGGATATTTTCCTGTACGTAAGTTTCGAGTTGCTTCTCACCATACAAATAACAGTGGTATCACAACATATCATCATCATCAATATCAACATAGGATCAGGCATTACTGCGTAATGGTCCGAGTTACCACAACTCATATCAGTATATCAAGTAAGAAGGCAGTGAAATGAAAGGTGAAGATAAGAAAATTCAGTCAAAAGAAATATAAAATGCGAAAAGAGAGAAAGGAAGAATGAGAAAATGGTGGGATTCGGTACAGCGTCGTTAGGATGAAGATAATGTGTGTATACACCTCCGCCACGGACATCGGTTCTAAGCCATATCGTCTAGAGTCTCCAACCACTGGTTCCTCTTGTCCCGCCGACCCCAACCGGCTAGTCTACGTCGCCCCACACAGCTCAAACCAATAGTCAAACACTTCATATATTGGTGCCATGTTTTAGTCTGGTCACCTCGGGCCTTTTTACAGTCTGGACCTACTACGGTCAGACGGTGGCTAGGCATACGTAACACGTGTCCCAACCATCTCAGTCAATGAAGGTTCATAACCTCGTCAACTGATTTACCTCTTCTCCCTAAAACTCTACACCTGAAGTCTGCGTTATTCACAATATATGAAAAATAAAACTGTGGTTCGTCAATAACACAAACACTATGGGAGTTGGGAGAGGAGGGTAGACATATACTAACAAACACCAAGTGATACAATTTTCTAATATATATATATATATATATATATATATATATATATATATATATATATATATATATATAACATCAATAAACATTACTAAAATAACAAAACACACACACATCCACTTCGAACAAATCTCACCTTAGACAAGTCATTAGGAAACGTTAAAGCAATTACAAGAGCTGATTGCTCCAATAGTCGACTGGAATTTCGATCAGTAGAGAAATTTGTCAACAATGAGTTGAATGTATGAAGAAGATTTAATAAAATCAATTTGTTCTGTTCAAGATTTTGAGAATTAAATACTAGAAGAAAAGAAAATAGATAATGATGTATGTGTATGGGCAGAGAAATATATTTACTATACTAAAACTAGTACTAGTATAATCATACACAGAAGACTGTGTATGACAAACCTCAAGCAGATATCTGATAGGCTTTGCGGTCACAAAAATCTCTTTCAGGTATCTTAAGAAGAAATGCCCTTTCACGGTATGGGCAGCCGAGAATTTTCTTTTCTTCATCTTCCACTTCACTGCCTTTATACTTGATGTAATGATATGAGCTGTGGCAACTCCGACCGTTATGCAGTATAATGCCCAGTCCTATGATGATAGTGATGATGATGATGAGTACATAGAGATTATTGATACAACCTGGTTGCCAAAGCCTCGTTGAACAGGGTAAGATTCACATATGTAACTTCCTGGTTAAAAATCGACCATCATAAAACACCGACTTACAATTCTACGAACTTTAATCAGTTATAAAAGCAGCAACAAGTCACACCGCTTTTTCTTTAAGACAAAACGAAAACTACAGTATAGCAGTGTATTCTAGTGTGCTAGACATCATGGTTGCAACTCAATTTTACGTTTCTCGGATATCCCAACTAAGACGCTAGAAGTCGGCGGACGCCATGTGAGACGATATTTTTTCTTCTTATGCCTAAAGTTAGTGCTGGCTAGAAGTGAATGATTGTTGGAATAAAACTACAAACAGAAGATCACCGTTGTCGGTTCGTTGACAAAGGATTCCGTATATCCCCTCAAGATGCCTCTCCGATTGGCTCAGCTTCCCTACTTGAGCGTGAAAGTCATCTGCCATTATGACTGCATATGAACGTTTTGCAAACCTTGTATGGTTAACTAGTTCACTGGTTACTAGCCTGTCCTAAGCCCAGATAAAGAGGGAAGCTTGGGCATACGGCTAACAACCCTACTCCGTAAAACTAATCCAACCGCTACAGAAACTTCAAAGCACAAACAAAATATAGAAAATAAAAACAAAATTATTCCCACATGGAATCCAAGAGGCGAAATGACGCCGATTGCCAAAAGCCTTTAGGAAGCCAGCCGGCCGACGTGTCTTCTCTCCCTCCATGGAAGCGAAAGTAAACGTGGCAACATGGAATGTCCCTAGCAAAACTGACCACATTCCAAAGGGGATGACAAGACAAACCACTGAAGTGCTAGGAACTTGAGAAAGCAGGTGGAATGGAAGTGGACTCTCCACACTGCCAACTGCAGAGTCAATAATCTACTCCAACATTGTCACCCACACAACACGACACGACAACCACGAACACACTGAGTTTTCCAGTGGCTATCATGATGTCCCCAACACCATCGAAGGCTCTCATACAGTGAGAACCAATCTCCTACTCCACCATCACAATCATAACAGCAAGCTTCAACTCAAAAGGAACAAAAGTCACAATCATACAGTGCTATGCTACGCTACGCACCTACAAATAATGCGGAGCAAGAGAAAAGAGACGAATTTTACAAACAACTGCAATCAACACTGGACAAGACACCAACTATGTTGGCGACATCAAAATTCATTCGAATGGGCGACATCAATGCCAAACTGGGAGAGCACAACACAGGAAGAGAACTAACTATGGGTCGAGAAGCACTCGGTGAGGTGATGAACGAGAATCGAGAATTGTTTGCAGAATTCTGTGCATTCAACCATTTGGTGATTGCAGTCAGGCACTGTGTTCAAGCACAAGGATATCCACAAACCGAGCGACATCGATTTCATTTCACTAGACACCAGGACACACTACACTAAAATTCAGATCCACTTCATCTCAATCTCAAAAAAGTGGATACGCAGCCTACATGACACTACGTCAAGTAGGTGTGCAGATGTAGGTTCACATCACTCACTATCTAGTGCAAAGAAATGCAAGGATGCTCAACGACAAGAGGAATTAAGTACAACGTAAACAACACTGGACAATGAAGTGAAGAAGAGTGCACGGAAAGATAAACGACACTTCTACGAAACACTGGCAAGTGAAGCAGAACAGACTGCAGGTAAGAGAGACCTGACAACATTGTATCAAATAACCAGGTTACTATCTGGAAGAGAAGAGATCAACGCAGATGAAACCAATAAGAGATGACGACGGAAATTTAATTACGAAGGAAGAGAAACAAAGGAAACGATGGGCTGACCACTTTATAAAGCTCTTGAATCGACCACCACCACCTGCATTTCGTCCAGGAATACCACCTGCACCCTAGCCACAGAACTACAAGTGGACACAAGCCCTCCGCCAAAAGCAGAAGTCCTGAATGCCATAAGGCTGCTGAAATGCGGGAAAGTGACAGGACCAGATGGAATCCCAACACAAGCACTGAAAACAGACGCAGAGACAACAGCAGACATGCTTACACCACTATTGCAGAAAGTCAGGAAAGAAGGAAAGGTACCTGTCTATTGATTGGAAGAAGGCATACCTTGTCAAACTCCCGAAGAAGGGCGATCTAAGTCTTCGCAAGAACTGGCGAGGAATCATGCTCCTGTACACCCAAAACATAATATTATGCCGAATCATCCTGGAGAGACCAAAGGATGCACTAGATTCAAAATTACGACCCGGACAGGTGGCTGCTGGCTTCAGAAAGAACAAATCATATGCGGATCAAATTGTAACGCGACACTACGCATGATTATAGAACAGAGTATGGAATGGCAGTCAACCCTCTACCTCAACTTCATCCACTTTGAAAAGGCCTTCGACACCGTCGACCGACAAGTAATTTGGCTGTTGCTTCAACATTATGGAATACCACAAATCTTTATCAGCCTCATTCAACAACTATATGAAAACGCTACATACCAGCCAAGTAATTCACAATGGAAAGCTCAGTGATGCCTTTGAAGTGAAGTGGAGACAGGAGTAAGACAAGGTTGTCACCTACTATCACCCATGATATTCCTGATTATGGTCGACTCGACTGAATCATGCAACAAACAGTGAGGAGAGAGAAGAGGGGGATACAATGGCTGGACCGATGAAAAGTAGCTAGAATACTTGGATTTCGCCACCGATCATGATTTATGTCTAATGTCCTGTTGTACAAACTTGAAGATCTACAGGTGAAAACTAACAAGTTGAAAGAAGAGGCAGGGCAGCGAAAGAAGGTGAGATTTCAGGTGAATGTAGAGAAGACAGAGGTGATGAAGATACCCAACCATCAGCAGCATAAACAATAAGAGGCACCAATCACCATGAACGGGTGAAACCTGAAGGAAGTAGTCTCCTTCACCTAACTACGTATGGCAGCATCGTTCCAAATACAGGTGGCAGTGGCGGCACAGACGAGGATATCAAAGCCAGAGTCGGGAAGACAGCAAGACAGGCCAGTGTGGAGATCTACTGCACTCCACTCCACTCAGCAAAAACAGTATGAACAACATCCGGATTTTCAAAACCAATCCAGTCAAGTCAATGCTACTACATGACTGAGAGACTTGACGTGTCACGAAAAGCACTTCGAACAGACTACACACATTCATCAACAACTGCCGCCTACACTGGCTCGTTACTGACACTGAAGACCAAATGGATTGCCAGATTAATAAGAATAAGCAACAAGGAACTCACTGTGGCTAGCTGGCAACGAACCAACCAAGAAGCTATCGCTCAACAAATATGCACTGGAAGGAAGTGGAGATGGATTTGACTGGGCATACACTGAGAAGGCCGACTGGGGACATCACTCACCAGACCAGGCCAGCCCTCGAGTAGAGCCCAGAAGGGAAGCGACGAGTTGAGCGTCCGAGGTGAGGGTGACATGGAGGAGATCGTGGGAGGAGGAAATGAGAACTTGTGGGCTGTCGTGGAGCCAGGTTGAAAAGATTTCAGAGAACAGAGCGCATTGGAGAGGTGTTACTAAAGCCCTATGTTCCATTAGGAACCCAAGGGATAAATAATAAACAATAAAAATAATAAATGGAATTCACCCTTTGGATCGTCCGAACTGCAGTCGGTTGGCTCGTAGGTGATTACGAACAGACATTGGTTGGTCTCACAATCCTTCCTAGTCCTTACAAATTCATCTAGTCGAACAGCACACAGAAGGGCTTTTGACTGGTATTCATTCAAGAAGGGCACTTTCTATCCTACAGCTCAATGGTACGCCTACACCAGCAAGTTCACGAGCTACCCATCGGGTCTCCGGATACTCTCAAGGTGAATTTTGAATATTCACCGTATTGGTCAAGTGAGGTCAATTTAATAACCACACTTGAGTCCTGTATACGTGTCTCAGAGATAGGGCATACATCCATGGCTTGTGATGTCAAGTTTTTGGCAAAGATGCTCGTTGTCCAATTTGGCATGGAGTTAGGACGTTAAAAGCTCCTACATGAAATTGATGGCAGAGTCTTAGGAGACTACGAATGAGGTTTCTATCCTTTGCAATGGTCGCAGAAGAGGTCGGGTTTCTGGCCCAGTATTCTACCAAATAAACTACGAGATCCGACTGCTGACTGCATTTATATTTCACTTCAATCACCAAGGGTTTCACTTCACTGACATGCGAGTCAGTGACGCATTACTATTTCTGGGTCATACTCAAAGTGGTTGCGCGTGAAATAAAAATCTGATTAGCAGTCGAGTCTCGTAGATCAGTTAGTAGAGTCGGGATAGAAACACTGTGGTCGCTGATTGGAATCCTGCCGTGGCCTAAATTTTCACTTCACCTTCAATCATCACCCAGTATCCACACAAGTTCGCCAAACCCAAGCGCTATTTCAGATAGCAAAACGGATAATAAATACTAGTAACACTACAAAACATAATGAGAACAAGATATGTAAGAATATTGATGGGTGCTGCGTCCGAGTTTCAGTGATAAAAAACGTCGCTAACTGGGATGCAGCTACATCCGACTGACGAGCCTCAAATAGGACCAAACATGCGTCCTAAATTCCACTGCTCGCCATCAAGCAGAGCCTATTCGTCTTAGTTCAGGACTCTTTGTAGAGTGTGAGCATGATCTCATAAGGGATTGAGCCAAATATCATCGGGTCTTGAGGTGCGAACACTACTATTGATCCATTGGGTTGGGATCTAATGGTCCACTTTTTCAAGTTTCTGTCAAGCCACGATACAATGCGACCATCACCCCATTTCATCGATGGACATCCATCCCCACCACTTCCAGCTAAAGTAGGGTGACCCCACAGGTAGTGGTTTCTCATTAGAATGCAACATATTATTTATTAGAACACAAACGCGGTACACCAAGGGCCTCCACCAAATGCGCCACACAAAATAATATAACATCATGAAGACATAAAGCGAAGGAAAGTGGGTAAAAATAAAACACAAGAATAAAAGGACTAGAAGGGCAGTCCAGTAAGATACACTCATAACAAAACACTCATTCGTCTACAGCACCAGAAGATGGAAGGAAGATACAGCATGATCACCACTGGTTTCCATTCTCAGCCAGATCTGATAACGTCTCAAGCCACTGAGTTGCGTAACCTCTCGGACCCCAACCAGGGAGTAATGATACACCAACACATCATCATCATCATCATCATCATTATCAACATAGGACCAGGCATTACTGCGTAACGGTCCGAGTTGCCACACCTCATATCAGCACATCAAGTAAAAAGGTAGTGAGGTGAAGGATGAAGATAAGTGAATGCAGTCAAAAGAAATATAAAGTACGAGAAGAAAGGAAAGAGGAGTGACAAAATAGTGAGATTCGGTATAGCGTTGTTAAGATGAGGATAATGTGTGTATACATCTGCGCCACTGACTTCGGTTCTGAGCCATATCACCTAGGGTCTCCAACCACTGGTTCCTCTTGTCCCGTCGACCCCAACCACCTAGTCTGCATCGTCCTACATGGCTTAAACCAACAGTCAGAGACTTCATACATTGCTGCCATGTTTTAGTCTGGCCACCTCGGGCCTTTTTCCAGCCTGGACCCACCTCAGCCAAGATTGTGTGACGAGGCAATCGGTGAATAGGCATGCGTAGCACGTGTCCCAACCATCTCAGTCGATGAAGGTTCACAACCTCTTCTCCCCAAAACTCTACACCTAACTTCTGCATTACTCACGTGGTGACACCACGGAATACGTCCTATACTACGAAGGCAACGGTGGTCAAACACCTGAAGCCTTTTTGTATCCTCCACTTTCAATGGCCATGTTTCACAGCCATACAGTAGAACAGAGCGGACTGCTGTGCAGTACACGCGACCCTTAATAGACAAACGAATATCACGGCGGCGCCATAGGTGGCGCAAATTGGCAAAAGCCAATCGAGCCTTTTGTATCCGTGCAGAAATCTCATCGGCAACTAACCCACCGGAGTTGATCCTACTTCCCAGGTAAGTGAAGTGGTCAACACACTCAACCACTTCACTCTCTATTGTTAACCGCGGTACCGCTGAAGACCAGTCCTGGAGCAAAAATTTGCATTTGGGTGGTGAAAATCGCATCCCAAACATTCTCAAATTCCCACTCAAAGTGTTCAGAAGACTCTGCATCTTGTCAGCGTCTTCACCTAACAGGACTATGTCATCTGCATATTCTAGATCTAAGGAAAATTCACCTGTGATCGGGTCAACGTCTTTGTAATTAGGTGACGAGAGGGAAACCTCCATAAGAATATCTATGATAAAATTAAATAAGAATGGGGATAGTGGGCATCCTTGACGGACACCACTTGATGAGTATAGTCCCACAGATACCAAACAGTAAACGATATGGAAACCGTTGGGAAGAGAAGCATAACACATGTCCAAGCCACGGAAGCTGGTGTTTCCAGATGACTTCACTTATTGAATGACGATCTCCATCATGCCCAAACACTGTCGCACATCACAATTACTTACATGGTATTGCCACCGGATACGAGCGATTCTACAGAGAAAGTGATAATCGAACACAGAGTCGTTGGGTATCCTTAGCTCGGAGAAGCCAGTTTTCACAGGCATAGAGCAGAACTGCTCTCACCGAAGCGTTGTGAACCTAACCATTCACGGTCAGACTAACGTCACGACGATGCCAAAGGTCACCCAGATTAAGGTATGCCACATTGGCTTTCGATATGCGGTTTGAAATCTCACCACTGACACCTCTACCAACATTCATACAACCACTCAGATACACGAACTTTTCGATTATTTCCAACTACTCATCACCGAGAGTGAGCGCAGGCAGAGACTGTTGCCAAACTTGATACAGTACTTTTGCACTTTAATGATACAAAGCACATACACCATACTTACGGATATAACTCGTAGCTTAGGAATTAACAAAGATTTTGATATGAAATTTACGATTGTTTATATTGTTTAATATTTTCTATCGTCTCTTCAATGGCTTTTAGCTAGAATATTTTACCATATTTTTATTTAAATAACTATGATAGGTTGTACGCAGCTGACGAATATCCGTGTAGTAAAATAAGATTATTGTGTTCTGAAAAATTAGTTGTTCTTGACTTGTGCAAAATGCTTACATATTATTTAGTGTAAGATATCAGAAGCTGATCATCAGGAAGACTTGATTAGTCTAATTTTTGTATCTGTTGAAAGTAATCGCATAGATGTGTGCATCTGGTTTTGTTTAAAATCCAAAAGAACATCTTTAAACTTCCTAAGAAGATGAAAAAGAGGAAATAATCTTTAAATAGCTTCACTGTATCTGTAGAAAACTAGAACTATTTGAAATCATGAACAAAGATCCATATTTTATTAGTTGAGTTGAACTTTCTGATAGACTTTTCAGTTATGAAGTTTTCACCTTTGTTCTAGGTAATATACACAGTGTCATCCCAAAAAAGGGGACACGCGTTTCCCTAACTAGCTACCAGGCTGGTGTATTCAGCTACAAATAGAATAACTGACAATGACTGACAGAATCAAAGTAGAACCTCCAGTAGAAGTGCACCGGTTGTCACACTTCACAGAAGTACACAGAGAGCAAACGGATACAAAGGATGATATCAAAGAAGTAGTGTGCGGCAATAAGCAATTTGTAAATGAAGGTTAGTGCAAATATTCAAGGAGTGAATGATCTTCTCCACGTCACCCACGCTTCGGATGCCCAACTCGTCGCTTACCCTTTGGATTCTACTCGACGGCCTGGGCTGTCGTGTGATGTCACCGATCGGCCTTCTCAGTGAATGCCCAATCCATCTCCACTTCCTTCTACTGCTTATTTGTTGGGTAATACGTTCTTGGTTGGTTCGTTACCAGAGCTCCTTGTTGCTTATTCTTTCTGGCCATCTGATCTTCAGTATCGAGTGAGTGAAGGCGGCAGCTGTTGATGAATGTGTGTAGTTTATCGGAAATGCTTTTTGTGATACGCCAAGTCTCTGAACCATCCCACAGAAGCATTGACTTGACTGGATTGGTGTTGAAAATCCTGATGTTGTTCACACTGTTTTGCTGAGTGCAGTGCAGTGCAGTGCAGTAGATCTCCACTCTGATTTCAGGTTAATGAAGGCCTGTCTTGCTGTCTTTCCGATGCTGGCTGTTTTGATATCCTCGTCTGTGCCGCCACCGCCCCCTGTCGTTGAAACGATGCTGTCACACCTAGGTAGGTGGAGAAGACTACCTCCCTTAGGTTTCACCCGTTCATGGTGATTGGTGCCTCTTATTGTTTATGCCGCTGTTGGTTGGGTATCTTCATCACCTCCGTCTTTTTTAAATTCACCTGAACTCACATCTTCCTTCGCTGCACTGACTCTTCTTTCAACTTGTTAGTTTTCGCCTGTACATCTTCGAGTTTGTGCAACAGGACATTAGACATCAATCATCATCGGTGGCGAAATCCAAATCTTCTAAGGTCTTTTTATCGGTCCAGTCAGCGTATGCCCATCCTCTCGCCCCTCACTGTTTGCTGTATGATCCAGTCGGCCACAATCAGGAAGATCATCAGTGATAGTAGGCGGCAGCCTTGTCCTACTACTGTCTTCACTTCAAAGACGTCACTAAGCTTCCTATTGTGGATCACTTGACATATGGCGTCGTCACATAGTTGTTGAATGAGGTTGATAAAGATTTTTGGCACTCCGTAGTGTTGAAGCAACTGCCTGGTAAATCTCTTCTTGGTCAACGCTGCCGAAGGCCTTTCCAAAGTCGACGAAGTTGAGGTAGAGAGTTGACTGCCATTCCATACTCTGTTCTATAATCATGCATAGTGTTGCAATTTGATCCGGACAGGATTTGTTCTTCCTGAAGCCTGCCAGCCAGCCTGTCCCGGTCGTAATTTTAAATCCAGCGTATCCTTTAGTCTCTCTAGGATGATGCGGCTTAATATTTCACTTGGGGTGTACAGGAGCATGATTCCTCGCCAGTTCTTGCAAAGGCTTTGGTCTCTATTCTTTGGGAGTTTGACAAGATAGCCCTTCTTCCAATCTACAGGTACCTTTCCTTCCTTCTTTCCAAACCTTCTGCAGTAGTGGTGTGAGCATGTCCACTGTTGTCTCTGCGTCCGTTTTCACTGCTTCTGGCGGAATTCCATCTGGTTCCGCTATCTTAAAATTAGCAGTCACAAATTCAGTCAGAAGTACTAATCATTTTATCGGGAGTCGAGATTTTGTCACATAAAAGAAGACCAAAATTATTAAAATATTGATAAGGCCGATTAAGTAGGGAATATATAAATGAAAAAATAACAAATTATACATATCTCGTATTGTCAGTTTACTTGAACCATATATTTTTGAAATGAGTTTGGATTCACTTCATGACATCTCCTTGACCTATCAACTTAAGACGATATAAACAAGTACGTAAATAATCACTGTTTTCGAAATATAAACGTAGCAGATGAGCATATTTCACACATGTAACCTCCTCTGTATATGAAGTATATTTACGTTTATGTTGTTGACAACACTACATGAAATAAAATATACCAGGACTACTAATGAAAAAAAAAATATCACAATTACCTCGTTTCTTCATACCCAATTCTAAAAGACGTCGAGCATGAGAATGAGAAAAACCACAACTGGTTGCCCATGATAATAAATCTTCTTCAAGTTTTACATTATGATTTGTTTCAGCACTGTTAACAGAAACTGTGCTCTGATGTTTTGTAGCACTGGCAAAACTTCTTGGTTCTACAACACCACCACTAGCAGCACAAGAATGAGGTCGTTGAACCAATGTGTTCGACTAAAATTGACGGTTAAATGAAACCAGTGAAAATATGGTTATTAAATACATTATATATGTAACTACTTTTAAAACTACACAGATCGCTTTAATTGTTTTACAAATAAGGTAGAGACGTGGTCAGTGAGAAAGATACTCAACTGTCAAATGATGATTTCGGGATTCAAACCTTATGCGTCCTGGATAACCGGGTAATATAGTAAATCTTAACCATCGCTTAGTACGGAAATTGATAAAGTTGCTGAGTTACGTTACTTCATGGTTGTCGACGAGCGTTGGGAATATGTGAATCTCTCGAGTACACATACACCAATATCAGCATTTTTTTCTAGTAGAACATAGGGCTTCAGTAGCACGCCACCATTCCACTCTCTTCTCTGCAGTCTTTTCAATTTGGCTCCACAACTGCCCAGAAGCTTTCACTTCTTCCCCACACAATCTCCTCCATGTCACCCTCAGAGGTACAACTCGTCGTTTCCCATTTGGGTCACACTCGGCGGTCAGGTGCGTGATGTTCCAAAACGGTCTTCTTAGTGTATGTCCAGTCCAATACAATACGTCTCCACTTTCTTCTACAGCATATTTGTTGGGCGATGAGTTTTTGGTTGGTTCATTGCCAGGCCAGAGTGAGTTCCTTGTTCCTTACTCTTATTATTCTGGCCATCTTTCTGATCTTCAGTGTCACTATCGGGTTAACGTAGGCGGTAGCTGTTGACGTGTGATATTTGTGGTTTGTTGGAAATGCTTTTCGTAACGCGCCGCCAAGTCTCTCAACCATCACATAAAAGCACTGATTTAACCGACATTGGTGTTGAAAATCCGGATGTTATTCACACTGTTTTTGCTGAGTGCAGTGCAATGCAGTAGATCTCCACACCGATTTCAGATTGATGAAAGCTCGTCTTGCTGTCTTCCCGACCCTGGCTTTGATATCCTCGTCTGTGCCGCCACCGCCACCCGTAGTTGAAACGATGCTGCCTTGCCTAGGTAGGTAGGTGAAAGAGATAACTTCGTTTAGATTTCTCCGGTTGGTGGTGATTGGTGCTTGTTCTTGCTGGTTGGGTGTCTTCATCACTTGTCTTCTCTACGTTCACCTGAAGTTAGTTCCGTCTTCGTTGCCTCGCTTCTTCTGCCGACTTGTTAGTTTTCGCTTGTAGATCTTCGAGCTTGTGAAACACTAGACATAAATCATCGGCGAAATCCAAATCCTTAAATAAGCTGAAATTAGACGACCTACTAGAAGCAAGGTTTTCAATAGTATGCTTACTCCAGACTATAATATACCTATATATAATCATCATCAATATAGGATCAGGCATTACTGAGTAACGGTTCAACTTGCCACACCTCACATTAGCACATCAAGTAGCAGGGCAATAAAATAGATGAAGAAGGAAAGAAAAATCAGTCAAAGGAAGTGGAAGGTAGTAAAAGAGAGAAAGGAAGAATAAGATGATGAGGTTAAGTAAAGCGGTTAAGATGAGGATAATGTGTGTATGCATCTGCGGCACTGACATCGGCTCTCAGCCATATGACCTAGAGTCTCTGACCACTAATTTCTCTTATCCCGTGGGCCCCAACCGGCTAGTAGTCTGCATCGCCCTACATGGCTCAGACCAATAGTCAACGACTTCATATATATAATCAGATCATATGATCTTATTGTTCAGAAAACATACCGGATTTATGTACTAAATAATAAATAAAAAAATAGTCACGTGACAACAATACATTGTAGTGATACGCCTAAAATCCGTTAGTTCACGCCACTAGTATTGTTGATAATAACATCATTATCAATAATAAAACAACTTGGTATGTATGTAATTGTTCTGGTAACCACATTAGGACACAAGGCACCTAATGCAAATAGTATATTCTAATATTTATATTGGGTGATGACTGAAGGTGAGATGGAAATTTAGACCGCGATCGGATTCCAACCAGCAACCATCGGGTTTCCAACCCCATGCTCTATCAACTAAGGTACGAGGTCCAACTGCTGACCAGATTTTTTTTTCACTTTAACCACCAAGGGTTTTGCCCGACTACCACGTTAATTCATAACGCGTTACTACCGCCTGATCGTATTAACACTGGTTGCCTAGTCAGGACTTCTCATCCCAATCCAAACCTAACTGATTCGAATTGTAGTTCAGTTGGTAAAGCATCGGGCTGGAAACCCAATGGTGGCTGGTTGGAATCTGACCGCGGTCCAGATTTTTATCTCACCTTCAATCATCACCCAGTACAAATACTAGTCTGCCAAACCAAGGTTATCTCATATAATCAAAATGATAAGTATAATCTAAATTCATAAAAAGCTGTAAGTTGTAACGAACAGAGGTCAGAACAAATAAACTAAATGCAATTACACAGTTAAGATAAAGATAAGATATGAAAGCATCCAAACAACTTTGACCGACTCTGAAACATACCATCTAAACTGTCCGACCATCGATTTCTGTTGCCTGACAAACCTAATCCTGAAAGCTTAAATTCTTCTGCACAACTCAAATCGATAGCTAGATATATTTCATGGATTATTGTTGTTTTTATTTACCTATCGTGAATAAGTCAATACAAGAAGAAATTTTAGATTTATGAACGCATTATATCAAGACAGACAAATAGACAAAATCAAGGTAGAATCTTGCACACACTTGCACCAGTTCAAGTTGCCATACTTCAATCCTCAACCATTGATTCCGATCGCCCTAGGGACTCCAGCAAGGTAGCCTACATCTCCTAACATGGTTCACATCAACAATCAGGGACCGCACGTTTTGGTCCGGTTATTCTGCACCCTTTTCCAACTTAATCCAACTTCCCCTAGCATAGTACATCAACGTAGGTGGTGGCTCGATATGCGCAGTGTACATCATAGATTTTTTAAAAAGTGTACACTAACCTTCACTTCATGTGGATAAGAATCCAACTTCATTGTAGATGATTTTATATTATCATTGGTAAGTTTTCCAGATTCCAAACAATTCTGTGGATATTTTCGTGGGTTATGATCAATATTTGAATGAATACTTTTGAGGTAAGACATGGAATAATTTTGATGATGCGAATACAATGCTTCTGGAGCTTTAGAAGTTGTATGTGTTTCATTTGAACTGAAAGACGATGAATAACTCAGATTATTTGAATTTGTAGTTGATTGAGCTTCGGTATTATTGACAACATATGATACTTTAGTATTTTTAGACAATGTCTCTTTATTTGCTAACTGATCAGTATTTGGAAGAGAAGAACCAGAAAATGAGTCATACGTTAAAATTTTTTTCAACTCTTCTAGTTCATTAATTGTTTTGAGCTCAGTCATTGCAAATGGATCATCAGGTCCATTATCAAAATCTTTCAAGTATGTACATGCTGAAGAATTAACAGAATCAGGAGTTATATGATTCACTTCTGAACTAGATCCGTTACTCTGAACTGCTATCTTCTCTGATACATGTGAAGGTTGGCTAGAACTGACACCATCTAATATACTGGGTACCAAAATTTGTCCAGATACAAAATGACTAGCAGCAGGTGGAGGTGGCCAAGAAACTGAAGGTGGACACAAATGAGGTGGGGAAAACATCTCAGAATTGGAAATAGTAACATGAGAAGGGATATCAACAGTTCGGTTATCGATTTCTGATGATGATAAGTTCAACTGAGATGCGGGAATATCACATGCAGGTGTAGGAGATGTCTGGTTCAAATGTTTCTTTGTTTTTAAATACTCCTCATGATCAGCGATTACCTGCCTTTCGCACAGGAAGTCATACTAAAAGAAAAACGAAAAGCAATAAGTAATACATTGGACTGAAGCATAAAACCATAAGACAAATTTTATTTTATAGTAGGATGGCTTGTTTTATCCTTTTTAGAGATGATTAAAGTGAACGAGCTTGCATCTTACTGGATGCCAGTGTTCCTAATCGAACGTAAACATAACAAAAGCACCTTTAAACGTCATAATATTACAACATTCGTTCATATGAATTGGATATCAGGCGTTGTTACCTTTAACCAATGATTATAAGAGAGGTCATGTCCTTACTATCAGGTAAAACCATAATTTAAATGGCAAAGTTAAGACTGGTCAACCATGCATAGAATAATTAAGGTGCAATTCTACTACTTTCTACTGCTTTTGACCTATTTTTCTTTCCTTCTTCATCTTCTGTTGTATTGTCTTGTTACTTAATGTGCTGATATGAGGTATGGCAACTTGGATAGCCACGCAGTAACGTCTAGTCCTATGTCGATGATGATGAATCCCTAGCAATTTTATGCACAAGGTTATTACCTACATGAATAGCAGGTGTTAGTGATCTATAAAAATTCAAGCAAGTGGTTTGGGGTTATTCTAGTGCCCGTGTCAATGAGATAAACTAAGTTACACACCTAAAAACCTTGGATTTATTATTTATTATTACTGTTATTGTTACGTACAAGCCTGAGTCACTTCATAAATGTATGAGTCAAACTGCGTAGAACAAAATTCTAACTCTGAATTCATTACTTGATAGTTGACTGCGGAAGCCGAAAAAACCTACATCTTCAGCTCTACGAAATACACATCTGTCCATTAAGTAGTGAGATACATGTGAGACGTGTGGGTTAAGCATATCATCTGATTGTGCAAAAACATTGGTAGATGGAGTATGGTGGTATGAATGTATGATCGACTGGTTAACCATCAAGAGTCTAAACGTATGAGTCACAACTCAAGTACTGAAATCTGCAAATAACCAATACAAAAGTATGACTTTTAAAGAAATGATGGAACAAAGTTATATAAAACATCTCCATAACTTCGATACAAAAAATATAAATCTGTCTAGTAGCAAAAAACACACGACTTTCAAATACCATCATGGGTGCATAACCAACTTGCTTAATACAATTTTAACAATCTATGTAGACATCAAACAATTAACTTATCTCACCCTAGTACACAGACCTGAACGTGCTTACACTGTTGTTCAATATCAACATGGGAAGTGGTATTACTGTGTAACGATCCAATTTGCAAAAAAATGGCATCAGCACATTAAGATAAAAAAACAAGACGAGAGAAGTGGAAATAAGACGATCATGAGTCGTAGGAAGAGGTAATACAGACGTAAAGAGAGGGTAGGACAAATAATGAAAATATTTGTATCATTATAACTGATTTTCAACCATTTCGCCATGAGTCTTTAATGATTAGTTCCTATCACCTAGGGTACTCCAAACAGGCAGTGCACATCTACCCATACAGCTGAGATGAACAGTTAGAAACGTCATGCACTAGTGTCACGTCTTGGTCTAGTCACTTTGGACCATTCGCAAGCATTATTTCGGTAACATAGTTTGACTGGGATATATATTCAACAAACAGGCTTCTTAAAGTTTCCATTAGGACTTCCCAGTTAAAGATAATTTCCGAATCAAAAAAATTGTATTAGGATGATGGAAAATATGAAGAAGCAACTAAAAGTTGGTTTGTGTTAGCATTTAAGTCAATACTGACTTGGTTGATTCCAAAAGAGGCGTTACAGAAACTGATGACACGTAATATTTAACTGCACTAAACTCGCTGAAAGAAGTGCACTTCTTGATAACGAATACGCTCAGCTGTACTAGTATTTAGTGTGCCGGCACATAAATAGCTACTAATCGAAGTAATCACCTACCTCGATATCAGCGAATGAGACCGTTTCTAAAGATGGTAGTTCAGGAGCAGCAAAAGCTTTCACTTTACAGCGATACTCAACGCCAGAAACCATCTTGATGCTCCATCCTTCACAATGCTCCTTATTTTTCCTTTCCATCGAGGCATAACTTTGCCAGCAAGAGCATTTGAACCGTCACACACAAATTCAGCGGTATCCAAATAGTTCCAACATCCAACATGAATAGTGCTATTTGAGAAAACTTGTAGTTTTCGAGCTCTCGCTTCTAAGTCTTCAGGTTCCCTTCTGTTTGTTCAATTATAATTCTTTGGGTGGTTACAGGAGTCTTTATGTTTTACCAGCTTTAGTTTGAAGACGTGCCCGAAGACTTTGGCGAGCTTTCGAAAGGAAATGTAATCTTACCGCGATTTAGCAATTTAGCTTTTGTTGTATATAGCGCAACGACAGCTCCAGTTTTCAATAAGAGTATTCTCTGGAGCTTCCAGTTGGATAAGTTTACTCTTCTTTACGCTTATTTTTGTTCACACTAAGATAACGAGGCCTTACCTCTGCCCGAGTTTTGGTTTGACCTGATAACGTTAAGGTTAATACTCTTTTTCAAGCTTCTCCAAAGTCCATATCTTCACTTTTTTGTATTTTAATACATACTCTTTTTATGCTTTCAACGAAAATGGTGGCCAAACAGATGCGCAAGGGGTAGGGCTGTCGTCAACCTGTTCAGGCGGGTATGCAATGTGATACGTGCGACGGATGGTTCCATAGCGCTTGCACCTAACCTAACCGAACGCAAACTCAGTACACCAGACTTAGTAAGTTTGGCCGTAAGTGGCATTACCGCTTGTGCAGACTTGCACTAGACGATGTTCTTGAAAACATCGTCAGCATGTTATCCGAGTTAAAAAACAGACTGAAGGTAGATCATAAAAAGGGAAGATGGAGAACTCAAAAGCAGTGCCTAAGCACAAGGGTTATGGAGTTAGATCGCCTGGCAGAAAAAGTGCTCAAGTCACTCGACAAGAGCAAGGGTCTGGTTTGACGGAGGACATGATGCACCTCAGTAGTGCAATAACACCAACTGTCCTACAGTCCTTCACTCGGATTTTGTCATCAACAGATGAGGCGCTACATGAAACGGTCATACCAAACAAAGATGGTCAAGATGGAGAGTGGGAAACCACTGTAGGAAATTAAAACAAGCGGGTTTCAACTCCAGTCAAACCCATCGGGTATGGGAAGGTGAGAAACCCAGGGATTTAACCCAAGTTGGGTAATCTGGAAATCAGGGAGGCTTAACATAGGTCCACAGGAAAGTGAAGTGGACATCAGACCATGACAGTCACTAACGAGCTTGTCAAACAAGGAAGCCTGTTGCCCATGAATGAGGGCAAAGCTGGAGAAAAGATGATGCTCAACAAAAAACGACCGAGCGGCAACGGTTGACAAGGCATACCACAGTCCGGAATGTTTCCTTGATCGTCATAAACGTGACAGACAGCCCTGAACTCCCATGTCGCCCTCAGGACAGGAATGATAGTGTTCTTTGGGAGAACGTATGCAGAAAACTCAAGCTGGACCACATAAAACCAGTAGCTGCAACTGGGCTCTCTCGCGGTCTCGATCCAATGGCTAAGGGCAAAACCCGTCTTTTGAGGCTCACATTCTGCAGCCCAGATGATGTCGAGGATGTACTTCTAACATCTTGCGTGCTTAAACCTGAAGCGTTAGTTAGTATGCTGCCGGACATCCCACATTCCGAGAGAAAAGCTCTAGAGAATCTGTCGGGAGAAAATCGTGGTGCCTACTTTGGAGGAAGAAACTTTATAGTGCGAGGCATACCAGAGAAACCAGGCACCGAGAATATTCACGACGATTCTCGCGGGTGGATGTTCCTCAATAATACTATGAACCTGAAGGAAGTAATCACCCAAAAGACGATGACCCTAGACCAAGGCTGATCAAGGTGGTTTTTCCGACTTCTCCAATGGCGGCATCCACACTGGAGGCTTTCTGGGTGAACAGAAATTGCCTGCCATCTGTAGTCCGCATGCGGCCTGATAGGCCACAGCACGAAAGGCTGCAACGAAAAGAGAAAAAACTGGAACTAGTTGTACCTCTGGAAGACTGCCTAGATGCAAAAAACGGGGAGGGGGAGGGCGACACTACACCAGTAGTCAGCAATTAGGCACATTCCTAGCCCCCAAGCCTGGGGATCCATCCAGCCAACTGGAAAACAGAAGGGGTGCAGGTATTGCATTGCAAGTACAGAGCATAGATTGCATCTACACTAGTGCACAGAGTTCACTGAACAAACTTGGCGAGCTGCAAGACCTAGGTAGGGACACTCCCTCGTCTTATCGGTGTTACTGAGACATGGGCCTGGCATGACATGTGAAACCAGGACCTGGCAATTGCCAATACCATGCTGTTTCGCAGTAGCAGGAAGGCTGGTAGGGGGGTGGGATAGCACTTTACGTCAGATCCTCTCTCTCAGCCCACCAAATCCATATCCAAGAACCTGGATGCCTTGAAGAGTCCGTTCGGTGCACCATAAAGCTATCCACGGCTACAAAGTGCTTGGTGGGAGTCATTTACAGAAAGCCACCTGCAGACTTACAGTAAGACTAACAGATGCTAGAGGCAATCACTTGCTTTCTTAAACTGCGGCACGCACGCAAATTGATTTTAGGAGACTTTAACCTACCGAAGGTCAACTTTGCAGATAGCACCTTTAGCAGGAGTGACTATCCCACTGAAGTCAGATTCTTGCGCTTGATTGAGGGGCTGGGGCTTACGGAAAACGTGAGAACGGTAACGCGAGTTAGGGGGGCTCAGACCCCATCTCGCTTAGACTACGTCTTCACAAATGAAGAATTCCTGGTAGACAACTTAGCAGTCCTACCCCCTTTGTGCAGAAGTGACCACGTTGTCATCGGCTTCCAATTTGTTTGCGAAACCAATCTAACCAAATTTTTCAATGGACATCGTTGGAACTTCAGACGACTTAACACTCCAGCTCTTCTAACCGCTCTGGAACACACAGATTGGAAAGTTAACCATGCATGGCAAGATATGAACACCTTTTGGAAATTCATACTTGACAAGTTCATGCGTGCGATCAGTCAGTCTGTTCCACTCTCGAGGCCTAAGTGCCTCAGGTTACCTAGGGTAATAAGGAACCACACTCGCAAGCTAATTAAGTTAAAGAGACGTCACTGGACTCAACACAAAAATGTTTACACCGAATGTACCTGCAGATAATTCAAACAGACAAGAAACATGTGTACGAAGGCCTTGAGAGCCGATCGGCGGTGACATCAAGTCAGGCTGACATACATGTTTGTGTCTAACCCGAGAAGTCGCTTCCGCTACGCTACTTCATTCCAGCAGGCTAAAGCGGGGTCACTCAACTACTAGGTGCGAACGGACTGACTAACGGCGACAGTGAGGCAGCTAAGCTCTTGGCCGACCAGTATCTGCACATCTTTCCGTCATCGTCCACCTACTCAGGAGCTTACGAATATCCCACTAAGGAAGTAGGACTCTCAGTGACCGACCTAAATGTTGAGCCAGTACAGCGCAAACTGCTACTGCTCACCAGAGTCACCTCTCCCAGACCAGATGAAATCCATCCGGTGGTACTCCGGGGGGAGCCTCAATCCTGTCCGAACCCTTACGTGAGTTATTTAAGAGTTCTCTGAGCCAGGGGGTAGTACCTGATTATCGGAAGCTGAGCCACGTAACGCAAATCTTCAAATGGGGTCTAAGAAGCAATCCAAAGAAATACAGACCGGCGACACTTCCATCCATTCCTTCCAAAGTAATGGAATCGTTGATATACGATGGACCGCGGGATTACCTCACAAAGATAAGTTTCTTTGCACCCCAACAACATGGATTTCGAAAGGAGTACTCCTGCATTAGCAATTTGCCTCGTGCAGTAGATAGATAGACTAGCATTGCTGACCATCGAGGACAAATTGACGTTATCTACCTGGACTTTGCTAAGGCGTTTGATCGTGTTGATCACGGCTGTCCTATCGGTAAACTAAAATTAATTTGGATTTGACCTCCGCTCATTGATTGATTGTCTTCATACCTACAGGGTCGTTCATTTAGAATTCGGGTAAGTCTCTCTGTGTCTAAAGAAACAAAATGTCCCAGTGATGTTCCCCGAAGTTCAGTACTAGGGCCTCCCCTTTTTCTAATATACATGAACGACTTGCCTCAACAGGTCTCTTCCGAAATCCTTCTTTTTGCCTATGACGTGGAACTCTGGAGGGAAATCAAAAGTGAGGAAGACAGTGTTTCTCTACAAGAAGACTTGACTCGACTTCACAGTTGGGTAGTCAGCAACGAGCTTGCATTTACTCCTGAGAAATGCAAAGTAATACACATGAAACATGATGCATCTCGTGTATATGGCCTCAGCGGCATGGAACTTGAAGCGTCACTGACGGAAAAGGATTCGGGAGTGTTGGTCCCCCAGGACTTAAAATCTTACGCCAACTGTGGCAGAATCGCACTTCATGGGAACTAGGCGTTAGTAACCCTGAGACGAATTGTCGGGCCATTCGATCATAGACGCTTACACCAAATTTTCAACAACTTCATGCGGCCTCACCTGGAGTTTTGAACCATCGTCTTCCCCCCAGTTAAGCGAAAGCTTCTTCCATTCCGTCAACAACCATTTGAGCTTATAGCTCTAGATGTGGTGGGTGTCGATTTCAATATCTAATATCTTTTTAACGAGCTAGTGTAAACCAGTTGATTTCTTCTTTCTCGCTCATTGGTCTTGCGGAAAGGTTTCAGGTCTTTGGCGGATTCCGATGCAGTAGATCCGGCCACTCCTGTGCCATGGCCCTGATTTACAGAACAGGAAGTTAGGTGTTGGTTTGTTTGTCTTTGACTGTGGTGCAGTTGGCTTCTTCAGATGTCTAGTCGCCAGACAGTTGTTCTGACTGGTCACTAGAGAGGGTTAGGAATAGTGAAGAGAAAACCTAGAAAGTGCTTGTGTGAGTAAAATAAGAGAGGAGAAGTGAACTAATGGAGTAATCTACTTACACCCAAGTAAAGCGAGGAGGGGTGCAAAGGTATGAAGAACTTAGGTGAGTGAGGCTAACTTATGGCAAGCGGAAGGG